ATTACTTTGCCTGAATTATGCTGAAAAATTTGCCGCAAAACATTAATTCAACTTCAAGAATGGACTTCCAAGCAACCAGTGGTGGACTACGGTTAACCACCGGCATTGGCATAAATTTACTCTGCAAAAACCAGAGTATACTGCTTCGGTTCGACATTAGTGTATGGATAAAGAAAAAGTGTCAAAGTACTTTAGTGCTTTGAATGACATCATGGTGAAAAATGGTTTTCATGTTAAACCAGAATCCATATGAAATATCAATGAAATTGGTCTGCAACCTGACGTAAAACCAAGAAAAGTGGTTGCACAAAAAGGCACAAAAAACCTCCATAGTCAAACGAGTGGAAATCACTGTATTTGCATGTATGAATGCAGAGGGCAAGTTCATTACACCCCAGGTTATAGTGAAGGGAAAGACATCCAGACCTTTATGGGGTTTTAAAACTAAGTTTGCGCCTCTGGGAACAAATTGGAGCTGGTCCTATAGTGGTTAGACTAAACAGGCCTAGCAAAACTCTGGTTTACCAAAACATTTTAAAAAAATATTGGTCCACAACGTCCTTTGTTATTGATTCTGGATGGGCAAAATTCTCACAACTTTATTGAGCTAATTGGTTTTGCTATTCAGAACCAGATACATATCGTTGAAATGCCTTCACACACATCAAACTGGCTTTAACCATACGACTGCATCTTAATTTAGCCACTGAAGCATTATTATCGCTCTACAGCTCAAGACCTGATGGGTCAGTTTCCAGGAATTTTTACTTGTCGTTCAAATTATTTAGAGATATTTGCTTCAGCTTGGGAAAAAGCAATTTCTTCTAGCAGCATTACATCAAGTTGTGTGGAATTTATCTATTTAATCCTCAGGCTAGTCCTAGTAATGCTTATTTACCAAACTATCTACACATAGCTAAAGATTTATCAGTTAATACAACTGAAAACAATTGTTTTTTGGTTAGTATTGTACTATCATGTTATTGTTATTACTACTATACAATAAAAATTATTATGAAAACGTTGGCTAGCAATTGTGACTAATATTTTATTTACAAATTGATAAAAACTCTAAATGAAGCTTAAAGTTTACTAAATTGCATTTCAATAGTATTATTTATTGTTTTCTTAGGAATTTTTAATTATCATTTGTTCAAGAAATTAATTTTTCAGACGTTGATGCTTCTATAGATGCTGGTAAAGTTGCTAATTATGTAGAACGATTACAAAATGGCACTGAAGAAGATAACGCAGCTCACAGTTCGTTACAAAGCAATATTTCTATTTTGGAAGGAGAGTTTGTTGTTTGTAAAAATCAGCTTGCATGTGAATAGTTTTACCAATCTTACTAACAAAAAAAAAAAGGAATCTTAGAACCATTAAACTTTAATTCTACTACTGTTTCAGATTTTCCGTTTGCAAACTCTTCCTACCCTGGTAAGTCAATCATTTACAAATCAATCAATTACAGTTTTTTTTTTCATTTCATTTGATCAAGTAATCTATAGTTGCATGGTAACAATGCAACTTTTAATAAATTTTTAGTTTTAAAATGATTCAAACTTTTTAAAGTTATTTAAATATTTGTTCTTTTGTTTAATATATATATATATATATTTTTATCAATGCAGGTGATGGAAATGATGATGTCTTGACATATCCTCGGGCCACCGTACGAATAAAGATAGCGAACAGAAAAGGTTAGCTTAAATACTTCGTTTTAACTTTTCAAGAAGTATACTCAGCAAAACTGAAATATCACCAAGACAAAATCCAACACGAAAAAGAAAAATGCGAAAGAAAGCAACTGCGATTTGTTAATGCTGCTAAGCAGCTTAAAGAAAAAGAAGAATGAAAGGTATTGGCGAAAAAAAAAAAAAAATTAGAAAATTGTCCAACAACAAAAAGATGTTTATTTCATTATCATCTGAATTACAACCATTGGTTGATCCCGAGAACAATACTGTCTAATATAAACTAAATATTTTACAATTTTTTTTTAATAACTAAAAATGCATACAGTTTCGTCTTATCTATATAAACTTTTTAATTAAATTTGTTTATGAACACTCTAATGGTCTTATTTGTGATAAGACCTAATGGTTTTTTTCACTAAGCACCGTCTTAAGGGGTTCACCATTTAATTGTAAAATCACTACAGCTCGTAAGCATTGATGTGTTGAAACTATACTTTATTTACACATTTTGGAATTACAATTGAGATTGATCTCAGAATCCAGATTCAAGTCAGAATCTAGGGAGAAAGTTCGCATTCACAAAACTCCATGGTTTTATACTTTTCTAATAAAAATGGTGCTATAGAGCATAGAAATTAACTAACGAGATTTAATCTCATTAACCTGTATATAACGTCGCCCTACGCAAGTATAAGTTCTTTTTAAATTTACACACTGGGCGACTTTAAATTAACATGGCGAGATTGAGTTCAAGTGGGCGAGAACCAGCGATTTTGACACAATGTACAATTTATAATTGTACCGCCAACTACTTTGATAAAATCTAAATAATTTTACATAGTTTTGAAGCTGAAAGAAAAAGCTATCTAATGATGTATAGTTCAGCTGTACAAGTCTAATAATGCCTGTCGATTTTAGTGCAGATGTGGGTGAAGTTTGATTAAGTTACCCAAGTATTTTTTTTTAATTTGCGTTTTTATTGAAATGCGTAATATAATAATATTACAGAGTTTATGCAAAATATAAAATATTTTTATAGAAACTATAAAACATTTTTTAAGAAAATATAAACAAACTTTAAATAATTATAACACATTTAAAAAATAATAAAACAATCTTTAAGAAAATAAAAAAACATTTAAGTTGATTATATCAATTATTTTATCAGCGTGTTGCAGAAAATTATACATTAACTTCTTCCGCAATTTCAATTAACTTCATTTCTTTAAGAATTGACTTTCTTATGGTTTTTACAATACCCTTTGTAATAATTGTTCTTTTTTTTCTCTGATTTTTTATTTATCGATTAAAACAACAAAATAAAGCTTGAACAATATTTTTTATTTATAATAAAAAGGCATTATAAGGCATGATTGTTTGTTTATTGCATTTAAAAAGTTTTCTCTGGATAAAAAAAAGCATTTATTTAATACGGATATAGTAATTTTTTTGATTTTCATTACACTTAATATAAATTTTAAACTTTAACGAACATTATTCACCATAATAGATCTAAATATTTTTTAATATAAAACTTTTATTCCAAATATAACAGTCTGATTCCTAACTTTAAAGTATGATAAATTTGATAAAAGACTCAAAAAAGTATCTATTTAAGGTACTTATAACTACTAACTAACTACTGCGGTCCTTTTTCTACTTTTATAGTTCTCCTCTTTTTTATAAATAAACCTCATAAATTCCGAGTAATTACGCAATTAAATGTTTTATATTTAAAATAGGGTAAAGTGACCAAATTCCAGCCGCATCTTTACAAAATTGTTTCTACAGACATATTAACAAAGAGGTCTATATGAAAATTATACATTTCTAGAAAGATAAATCTTTCAGCATTTAGGATATAATTACAGCAATTATTATAAATAAAAAATGTTTGATAAAACAACGATTACCAAAAGTATATAAATTTGACCAAAATACAGCCACTATGACCAAATTTCAGCCAGGCGTATGCGGAATGAACCAAATTACAGCCAATATAAATAACAAGCTTTTTATAATACTTTTATGGGTTGGCATTTAAAATATTTTAAAATTAATTGAATTACTAAATATTGAACCAATAATTTTTTTGATGTGATCTTAAACATTAGTTAGAAAATGATTGCTTAACTTAATACTAAGCATTCATCAACAAATAAACTTAGTAAGGATGCCTAAATCTAAAAAAAATAAGTTTTCAGGACATGATTTTAAAACTATTAAAAAATGATTTTGAAACTATTTTAAAAGATTTGCATAGAATATAATATTCACATTAAAAAAAAAAAGAATTCAGTGAACTCTATAAAAGACTTTTTTAAACACTAAGAACAAAAATTCATAACAACATGATCAAGTTACACATGGCTTTTTTATACTTTTATTGGTTCATTTTTAAAGCAACGGTTTTTTTCTAGGATTATCTTTTGACAATACCGTTGCTTCCTTTATTTTTAAGTTTTGTAGTCTTTTCAATTTACGCATTTCTTTTTCCTTTTCATTTTGAGCTTGTTTTTGCTTCTGCTTTAACTGTGACTCATATGCTTCCTTAGAAGTAAGCACAAAAAACTTGTCTGCATTCTTAGCTCTTTTGCTCTTTGTAAAATTTGGATAAGAATATGGCAAAATGTCATTATCTCCGTCTCCTGGATAAGATAAATTTTTAAAGGGGAAATTTGGGGCCAAAGATCTAGTTTTTGCAAAATCAGAAACTAAAAGAGTTGAAACTGTAAAATCAACTTCATGCTGATCAATAGGCTGTTCAATTTCAGAGTAAGACATAATTCTAAAGCTGTCTTCAAACTTACTAGTAAATTTATTACTTGCAGCTTTTAGTTCTATAGTTTTCATATTTAGTTCTACTAAATCATCACTCCTATGTTCTACTACGGTTATTGGTTCAGCTAAATAGTCGTGATCATTTGCTACAGCAAATCTTGGGTTGGTAATTAGATGTTGTTCCAACTCAATATCTGGTAAAAGTACTTTTGTGCTGTCTGTTGTTTGCTTAATCTGCTTAACTATTGTTGTATTATCAACTGTTTTAATTTGATCAAAGAGATTAGTCATTAACCTGTCTTCAGAATACACATAGTTTGGCAAGTAAGCTTCAGCTGGAATAATTCAAGGATTATATGGAAAGATTCCACAAGATTTAAAGCCAGATTTAATATTAGCTTTGGTTAAAAGTCCTGTAAAATTGGCCTTGTTTGTTATAACCCCAGGCTGATTAGACATCATATCCAGGGCTGCTTTATTATATGAAACTTTGAATGGCTTAAATACAGTTCGATCACAAGTTTAAAGCCAATTGCTTGTATGAGCAGGTAATTCAACAATTTCAATTCGGTTTTGTATGGCCATATCTATTAACTCTACGAAATTATGGGAATCGTGGCCATCTAAAATTAAAACTTGTGGACGTTGTGGTCCAATGTTTTTTAAAAATGTAAGCTCAAACCATAGTTTTGCAATCCCTTGTTTAGTCCATCCAGATTCACTTGGACTCCAGTTGGTTCCTTCAGGGGCATCTAGAATTTGAAAACTTTGAAGGGATTTTACTGTCTTTTCTTTTGGAATCACATGAGGTGGTAAGGCTCTTCCTGCTGCATTCACACAAACAATTAAAGTAATCATTTCTCGATTTCCACTTGTTCTCATATGTAAATATTTTGTACCTTTTGCAGCAACTATTTTGTGCGCATTAAAGTCTAGCTGCAGTCCTGTCTCATCCATGTTCCATATTACTTCAGGCTGACAGTCTTTAATGACTTCTTTAAGTGCAGTAAAATAATTTGGCACCTTTATCAGATTCATGCATTGATGACGAACTGATGCTGTTGATTCTGGTTGTCGAAGAGTTACTTTTTTGTTATGTCGATTGTTAAGTAGTCGCCACCATTTATTAGATGGTTTGCCATTCTTAAAAGAATATCCATATTTTTTGGCAAGCTTGCCAGCATATACCAAGAATTGTTCTTTTCCAAAACCAATGCCCATCCTAGCTCGGTTGTCTGCAAAATCGAGTAACTTTTTTTCAAGATCAAGCGGCATTAAACTTTTTCTTCCTGCTTTTGCACCAAAAATTAATTGCACCTGGTAGAAAGACCAAATTCCGGCCAGGTTTATACCTGGCCGGAATTTGGTCTTTCTACCAGGTGCAATTAATTAAGAAATACAATCTATAGTAATGATCAACATAATTATAAAGCAAAAATTGTCTTTTTAAGAAATATATTTATAGTTTAAAATAAATAATATTTCGTTAAGTAATAAATATTTAATACTTATAAGCTTCAAACAGGATGCTTACATGATATTTTAACTATAAAGTAGTACTTTTTTGAGATAAATATTTTTTATGATGTTACTTCTATTATAAACAGCCGCCAACTATAACAATGCTTTTTTTTTATTGGCTGAATTCATACCAGTCTCAAAAAAGTAGCATTTACAAACATAAAGCAGAAAACAAGACAGAAATAATAAATTTAAAATGTGGCTGGAATTTGGTCACTGGCTCGAATTTGGTCAGTGTACCCTATATGTTTTATATTTAAAAATGTTTTAAATTTATAATGTTTAAATAACTAATTAAATGTTTTTTTTTTTTTTAAATTTGTTTTATGGATTTTTTTAAAAATGTTTTATATTTTTCATAAACCCTGTAAGACGATTTGAAAGACAGTTGCAGCATATATTTATAGTAAAAAAGTAAAATAAACTTTTAATTGTCAAATAAAAGTTTTAAACTTTTATATAGCTACAAGCTTTTTTTTTTTTTTTTTACTTCCACAGCACCGTCTTGAGTAGCAGGACTTTCTTATTGAGGTTTTTTTTATTAAGTTTCAGACAACCTATTTTTGAGAATATCCGCAGCTTATTAGGACTAATTAACTGAGCACATTAATAACATAAAAAATCGTCAATAAATTGCGTCACGTTATAAGGGGAGGGGGTATTGGTGGTTTTGTGACGACTTATACAAAACTTGCTACAGTTTTGGGACGAAAAGGGTGGGGGAGGTCAAAAACGATCAAAATACCGGTGACATAATTTATGGACGATCCCTAAGTATCTCAATCATCGCACATACGCAACAAATAATCTCTCCCGGTGATGTTTTTTTATTGTTTTATCAAATTATAGCTTTGTTGAAATTCTTTCGTTTGTAAATATGTATAATATCGTTACATATGTTTGTATATAATCTCTAAAAGTATTTTGTTTTTTAAATAAAAAAATTAAAAAAAAAAAAATTTCGTTAGTTGTTGGAATTAAATCACGGCTTACTTATTCAGAAGCTCGGCGCGCTATTCACTAAGCCACACTGGCACTTTGTTAAGCGATGACTTTTAAAAATATATATAATTTTTTTTAACGGAAAAAAAAGTTATAGATCAAAATGAAGGAGAGCTTGACGCAATGCAATTTTCATGTGAAAATCAAACTGTAAAACTTGATAAATGTTTCAGTATGTTTTAACATATGTTTTAACATTACTTATTTAAAGTTTACGTATGTTTGGTATTTGCATACACGTTTTCTTAAAAAATTTAGTGCTGCAACTCTTTTTCACCACTACTATGGTTGCAATGGCTGCCAAGGGTTTTGTGTCGAACAGGCTTGAAAGCGCTCTTTTAAGTTCAGTATTTTTAATTAGATATAATAATATAGCCATTGGTCAGAAGACTTACGTAAAAGCTTAAGTCACGCGGTTTAAATAAGCATAATTAAAACGAAATAAAAATTTGTTAAAATTATTTTCAATCAGAAAAATAATTAAATTAGACTTATATGCATTTTCAAGATTCACTTCCTTACAACAACTTTAAGCAAAGCAACTAATAAATAACAATAAACAAGTGTTGGGTGTGCCATTACAATTCAGGGAATTTAATGTGAAATGTCAATGTTTAATAAACATGGATGGTACAGAAATTTTTGGAAACTTTTATTCAGAAAATCTCCTTTATGTAAAGTTGTTCTGTGTAATTCTAATTTTGGTTTTTAAATGAACATTTAAAATGCTAACTATTTTATCCTATTTTCTTGCGGTTACAAATCAGGTTACGAAACCAGACAATCAGGATATAAATGTAGAAGATGATATTGCATAAACAGGTGCATTATGAACAAGCGGTAGACGGTATTCTAAAAAGATTTTTGATAATGCATAAACCAGAGAAGACAGTGATCCAAAATATTTGTTAATGATGTTTATTAATTTTATTAGTAATCTTTGACCTAATCTTAATGTATACTTTTATTTTTTGCTGATAAGATTAAATTTAAAAGATATTTTGTAGAAATTGTTACTATAAAATCTCTACTGCAAAAATCTTGGTCATTTAATTTTATTAATTATCGAAAATAAACAAGTATAGTGCACAAACATTTTTTTTTCTAAATCCCCACTATATGAAAACGTTGTATATAAGTTTATAACTTTATATATAGTTTTAAATAAGTTTATAACTTTATAGTTTTATAAAATGAAAACAAAGTATAAATAGTATAGTATAAAATTTTTTAAACATATTATTATAATGTTTGTAAAAAATATAAAAAAAAGACTTTTTATAACTATATCTTGTACATATAAAAAATATTATATATATATATATATATATATATATATATATATATATATATATATATATATATATATATATATATATATAAATATATATATATATATATATATATATATATATATATATATATATATATATATATATATATATATATATATATTTATATATATATATATATATATATATATATATATATATATATATATATATATATATATATATTTATATATATATATATATATATAAATATTTATATATATATATATATATATATATATATATATATATATATATATATATATATATATATAAAATATTAAAAATTAAGACCATTTGTAACTATACCTTATAAATTTCATTACTTTTGTAACTATATCTTAACTCCATGCCGTAATATTACGGTTTTGTGCATCTCTTTATATTTCCCACTTGTTCATCAGTAATTAAACGTCTTTAATTACTGATGAACAAGTAGGAAGTAATTACAGAGCTTTTCTTTCAATAATTATCTTTTAAAAGTGTTTAATTTATTTTTAAATATGACAAATAAGGAAGTTCTATCAGTGCAAAAATAATTATCAAAAAGTAAACATTTACTCACAAAAAGATAAAATTTTATACATTTGATGAATCAATAATGAAAAGATATATTTAACAAATGATTATTGGAAGAGATAATAAAACATTCATTCTTAAAGATGGTGTATGTTACAAAGACAATATTCAAAAAGGTTCAGCATACGAATGTGTAGAATGTGGTGTAGGACTTTTCGCAGCTCCTTGCTTTTTACAAATATCATATAAAAAGTGAATGTTAGTGAATATATTTTTAAAATTTGATGTATATGTAGTATGATTTATATATTCTTAAACTTGAATAATAACATTTTGTATTGTTTAATAATGTTAAAAAAATTAGTAAAAACATTTTTTATTCTATTTGTAAAAAAACAAGATGAATTTAAAAATACCGGACATTAAGAGACCACTTAAAAAAAAGAAGATACACTAATCGCAATCGTTATTTAAAAAAACACGGGACCGTTAAATGGTTGTTTATAAATTTCAAGATCTATTGCTCTTACTACTTCTTCTTAATTTTAATTTATATTAGCTTTAAAACTTAAATAAATTGAAATAACGTTAACTATATCAAAAACACGTTTGGACAAGATCTAAAAATTTAACATATAATTTTACTTAAACTAAATCTAAACTTTTTATATACGTATAATAGACGTCTGAAATACGTTTGAATATAGTCACGTTAATCTTGATTAAAATTTTAAAATTATCAAAACTAGTCTTGTTCTTTGTTAAAAGGTTAAAAATGTTCTTATACATATATGTACCCATCTTGCATAATAGAAAAAATCAACAATACTTGCAAAATCATCTTGCATAATAGAAAAAATCAACAATTCACTTAAAGATAGTTGTAAAATTCCTTTTTATTTTTAAACCTAACAAACTGTTTTTAAATTTCCTTATATTGCAAAACATCTGACCTAGCAAAATCAATATTTCATTTATTTATCAAGGGTTATAGTAAGTTTGTTACCGTAAGATTAATATTTACTTTTCTAAAATTGTATAATTTTTTTTATCTAAAGGTTACCTGTTAATTTTGAATCATTCGTAGTCTACAAATTTGTGTTTGTTGGATGTAAATTCTGTTATACTGTAGAACTAAAGACACAATGTTTGAACACTATAGAAGATATAAAAACTCTCTTATTTATAAGCACTCTCACTCAAAAGAAAAATGTTTTACTAATTATAGTGATGAGTTTTTTTGACTTCGTATTGTGCCATTAAAAAATTAGAATTAAAAATTAAAGAGCGTAATAATAAAGGTTGGGAAAAGTCAGATATAAACAAACAAGTAAACAATTTTAAATTAATCTTGCTATTTAAAAAAGTTGCTATATTTGACATTTTAGTTAAAATATATTTTAATTTTTTTTTTTATTTCATATGTAGGAAGTTTGCCTTTTTGTATATATAAAAGTTTTGACACTAGATTTGGTGTTGCAGAATCCATTATAAGATATAGATTGTTGGTTATTTTTAAAAGCGCAAACATTAAATTATTAAAACCTTTAGTCTTCAGTTACCTGATTCACATCTTTTTAAAACTATTTCCACTAGTTCTGGAATCTGATAGTTACAACTCAAGGATAATGTGTACACCATTAACGAACTTCATTCAAATAGTCGCTGTTAATTGATTCGATGAAGGAGTTTTCTAGTTGCTACAGTGTCAACAATGTAGTGGGAAGCAAAAAACAATAAAATAATTTTTAGATGCTTTTATAATCCTCAATATTTTTTTGATGTGTTGCTTAATTATCTAATAAGTGTAGTATAAACTTTTTTTGAAGGCAGTATGAAAAACAGAAAATATTTATATTACTTCAAATAAGTGTCTGTTAGGACCTAACCATTTGGATGATATAAGGCAAGTTCAGAGTTGCAGTTCTAACTTGTTTTTTCTATTTATTGCTAAGTATTTTGACTTCTTTTTTGGTCTTGTAGAAATACTGACTCATTGACATTATTACGAAAAAAGAGTCAAAATTAGGTTTTCAAAAGTTTTTGGCCCACTTGTAGCATGCTATTTCTGTTTCTTAGTTTTAGTTATAACATAAAATATTAGCAATACTTTCTTATAGATTTTTTTTTTAACTGATTCTATTGGAGCCATAGATAAATGTTTTAAAACCGTTGTCTCCATTTCCATTTTATAACATTAAATAATGTGCTATTGAAAAGTATTGCAAGTGGTTTGGTTGTGTAATTTTCAGTGTGATTTCCAGTGTTTTATTGAAAACACTGGAAATCACACTGGAAATCACACTGGAAGCTCTTGGGTTCACCATTTATTGGTAAATCATCTATTATTATTTTAGTTTTATACTTTATTTTTCTCGATCATTTTTATTGATTTTCCAAAAAATTTTATATTTTCATACTTATTTTTTGTCCTAACCCAGTTAAACACATGCCTTGTTATGAATAAAGTTTGCTTCATATGTTTGCTCAATGGAGTTTTTGACGCCGTAAAATTCATTGTTTTTGCTTTTCATATTTATCATCGTTAGCTTTTTTGTTCTGTTGGTAATTTTTTTTGTTTATTTCTTGAATTGGTATTAAAAGAATATAAAAGTTATTTATATATATTTAAAAGATAAACAAGTAATAAACTAAATACAAAATACTTTAAATATATGAAAAAAACTGAGTGATATTTATTTTTTTACCAGCAAATTTAATTAAAAATGACTTTTTTTTTTATTAAAAAAATTTGATATAGGCTTTATTTATCAAAATGTGTTAGCACTTATTATATTCAAACAACTTTAATGTACGCTTCGTACATATTTATAATGTTTACAAGGAATTTCATTTTTTGTTAAACTAAAGGTGGAGTAATAGTTTTATTGTATTAACTGAGAGATAATTCAGGTAAAAAAGTATGATTTGCTTATTAAAAATAAATAGTAGTCACACTTATTTTTAAAACCAATCAAGTTAAACCTTCAACTGTAAGCATTAAATGGTTTAATATGAAAAATATAATAAGCATAAAGGTTAGCTTATTTTAAATTTATATGCTTTTAATTATATAGAAATTACAGAACTAAGTTTTTAAAAACCAAGCAAAGTTATTAAAAATAAATATTTTAAAAAAAAGCTTTATTGCCAATTGTCGCCGAGTAGAAGTAACTTATAAAACTAACTTTGTCTAAATAAATATTAACATGGTTTCTAGATATTTTTTACAATTTTATTTATTTTTATACGAAATTATTATATTTGTAAATAATGAGCCTAATGCTTTATAAAGACGCTTGTCAAACATGTTTTAACTTTTTTTAGCCTGTCTCTACTTTGCTTCTTCAGACTCCTTTTTTTTTGAAGTCTTTTTTAATTTTCTTTACTTTGTTCCTTGTTTTTTTTTTCTAAGGAAATCTACTTATTTATTAAGATTAATTTGTTCTATTTACAAAATATCTAAAATTTACTTTTAATTTGTTAATGCCTTCATCCTTACACATAAAACACACGGTATAAAAAAGGCAATTACTACTATTTCACTAGCACTTTAACGACCATTGTTCAAAATCTTCCACATGTCTCATAAATCAACTTCTTCTTAGATAAAAAAATAACAGATTATCACAAAGAAAATTTTAAGTTTGTTAAGAAATTAAGTTAAAAAATACAAACCTAACTTAAAAATAAGTATAAGAAAAAAAAAAAAAGTTTCTATAATAGCGTAATTTTAACCACCTAAAGCAAAGGACAGACTGGTCATATGCTAAGTTACAGTGTAATCTTAACCACCTAAAGCATGGTCAAACTGAGCACATGCTAGGTTTTTTGTGTAACCTTAACCACCTAAACTAAATAAACTAACTAAATAAGTAAGATATTGAGAAAGGAAAAAATTTAGAACTTAAATGCCAGAAGGGTCAGTGGCACTAGAGCCAAACCATTTAGAGTGATGATAACAACCATATTGGCTAAAGAATACAGAGAAAAAAGTTTAGTCAATTTATTCAGAAACAACATCAAAAAGAGTGCATTCTTGAGAAGAAGAATGAAAAGAAAGGTAGTTAAAAATCTTATTGTAAATGTCTTTGTAAAGTTTCAATAACTACAATTTCACTTAATTAAACATAGATACCCTTATTAAACACAAAACAGCGTGTAGAAATACATATCTACATGCTAAATAAAATATTGGTATCCTTATTAAATAATTAAAAAATTCCCTGCATTAATATGTGTATATAGTAAATAGAGTTTTGAAAGTTTTTGAATTATTGTTAAAAAATGATTAAAAGTGATTTATTTAATGAAAAAGTGATTTGTTTAATGACAATTAAAAAAATTTGTGGTTACCATTTTGAAAAAAAAAAAAATCTATTCTTTTAAAGCCAGTCCATTCAAAATGTTACTACATGTGGTGTTGTCTACTTTTCTAAAAGTTTAATTGTATGGTTCAAATTCTGATGCCTTTGGTAGCTCCAAACTTATTATTGGAAACAAAATTAGATCAGAACCTTAATCAAACATATCAAAAGCACCTGCCTATTTTATTCAAAGATTATTTTATGTACACAATCAAGCTACTGCTTTTTTATGATTAATAATGATTACCAATTTAATTGTCTCCAAAAATTATTAAAATAAAGATTAACTAATCTAATAATTTTGGAATTAATAAAATAAAGATTGGTTGATGTGGAAACTTTTAAATTATTAAATAAGTTCAGTTGTTTAAATATTGAAATTATTTGTAAATAATAAAAACAGATTAAACACATTACATTAAAGTTAGAGTTAGGCGTAATATTTTATCAGGTAATCATTAGTGATTTTATGCTCTTTTTTTTTTTGAAAACATTTATATACCAATAATATATTTTTAAAGTTTTTCTTATATTTTTTGATTTAATAATGATTAATAATTTAATTGCCTCCAAAAATTGTTCAAATAAAGATTAGGTGCTGAAATTCTGTGGGTAAGTTCAGTTGTTTAAGTATCTAAATTAACTGTAAATTTAAAATATGTAATATATTTTATATTAAATGCAAATAAGAAAAATAGATTAAGCATATTTTATATTAAAGTTAGAGCTTTTATTGTTTGTATCATCAGCTTATCAACAATATTTGTATGCTTTCTTTTGTTGAAAATACTCATTTACTGTTGTATTAAAAGTTTTTCTTATATTTAGGCTATTGTTTGGAAGACACAATTGGAGATGATGACTATACAGGTGTATACACATTGCCAAATACCCTAGTTAACAAGTCAGTAACAAAGCCTTGTCTGTACAATACAATTGCTAACATAACAAGACAATGTATTTGGAATGCTGTTTTGGCTAAACCTGAATGGAAACCTGATGTTCTTTCATTTTTGAATTTTTGTCCTTTAAAGCCTAGTACAACATGGCAATCAAAACAAATTATTATTTTGGAAAATGTTGGTTATATCATTGTTTTTTTGTTTTTTTTAATAACAAAGTCCTTTTTTTTGAATTATTAATAACATTTAGTTAATTAATTTTTAATTATTTCATTAAAACTCAATTACTTAAGATATACAGAAGCTAGAACAGGCCACAGTAAAGTTTATTAAACATATAACAATGTTTGATGCTACAAAAATTCATAAGAAGATTGTGGCTGTTGAAAAATTATTTAGCATCATTTAATATACTGATTCTTTCAAATCATACTAAATTAGAATTGGTTGCTTTAAAAAATAAAGTTTTTTTACAAAGTTGGTTATTAAGATTAATTTTAAGATATTAGATTTAAAGTCAAGTCAGGTTATTCTGCTACTGGTAACATGTAAACCACTACAACTTGTTTCATGTCCTGCTACAATTTAGGATATGCTATTAAGGCAAAGACAAGGAGATACCTACGCATCTCCTAGTCTAAAGACAAGGAGATGCAATAACTTAACAAACACCTTACCCTAATGCTCTTGGTTTAGTAAAGTAAAAACACTCATCTTAAACAGACTTATCCGGATACTATCTTGTAAAAAGTGTTTTAGGCAGAGAATTTGGAAGAGTAAGCAGATTCATGAGTAATATGATGTTCAATTGATGACAAGCTTTGCACCCCTTCTCTATTTATTAGGCTGACGTGAATGTATTTATAAAACATTGTTTCTAGTTTAGGGTTATGAATGCTAGATCTTCTAGACTAATTGCGTGTGATTTGCTTGTGACTTTTTGTTACCTGCGGCAATATAAACAGACTCAATCTATTGAAAGAAAAGCTGGAAGTGGGATTAAGAAAGGTTTTAAAGATAAGTATAAAACAAAATTAATCATTTGATCCATAAAGGCAAATCCATGTCAATTGCTAGAGATCTTGCGTGAAAATTTTTAAATCATTGCGTGAAAAATACTTAAACCTTAAGCATACAAATTATATTGTTAAAAAAAACTCTGAAGCGATCCATTTATGCAGAAATTAAATTAATTTGTTGCTCAAAAAAGCTAAATAAACTTTTATTTTAAACTATATTGGCATGAATTCACCCGTTTAAAAACTAAGTATAAATCCTTTGGTAAGCTTAGTAAAAATCCATAGACTATTCTTTAATGTACTTTTATTTGACAACACCTAACTCTATTAATTCTCTCTTTGTTTTATATTGCTCTTTATCACAAGAATGCAGCCTTTTTGATATTATTTCTGATCAAATCGACAAAGTTATTTCTTTTAGCAAATATTGTTGTTGTTGATAATAATCATCACACTTAACGGCGTGGCTCTAGTATCAGTTAAAGTGATGGCTTTTTTTACTCCCTCTAAAAAATTTCAAATAAAGCCTCACCCTTCTACATGATTTTCCTCTCATTGTGCTGCTGTAACTTTCGATTGTAACATTTACTTCCATATCCAGATTTTAGGCATTTAAAGATTTTATTTAAAACAAACATTTTACGCAATACCAAAAATTTCTGTTTGGTGTTGCCTAAAACCATTTTAAAAATATTTTGTCTAAAGCCAAAGTCCACTCAGGTCACAAAATCGCATATTTCATCTGAAAACTAAGGCTCCTGAGACCTGTGAAGAATCTTTAACAGGGTCTACGATAAAAGCAAATATGTCATTTTTACTCTCTTGCACGATTCAGATTTCGTTACCTCACCTTCAGACAAAGCTGAACTGTTTGCTAAGAACTATTAGGTTTTTGAGTCTTTAATTAACAAACAAGGATTAGATAGTTATGGAGTGGTTAAGGCTCTTGCTCATGACATTTCTAGAGCCTTTGATAGCATATAGCATGCTTGTCTTCTTCATAAATTCCTCTCTTATGACGTTTTTGGTAAAATCTTCAAGACTATAAAATCCTTCCTTACCAATTCATTTATAAAAAATGTTCTCAATAAACAGTACTTTGCTTCATTTGCTGAAACTTCAGGGGTTCCTCAAGGTTCTATCCTTAACCCATACTTTTTTTAATTTACATTTTCGATCTCGCAGAAACTCTAACATCTAAAGTGGCATTTTTCGCTGATGATACTACCATTCATTGTTGCTTTAATAACAAGCCAACACTCTCTGATTGTTAGAAAGAAGGCGTGTGAGATTAAAAAGAATCATAATGTGGCTCTCATATGCTGATCAACTTTAACTCAGATATAATTAAATTTTTTTTCAGCTAATATAGATGTTGCTTTATTTATGAACGGTACTGTGCAATGAGTCATCTAGCTTTTGTCTTCTAGCATAAAACTTTACTTTCGACTTAGAAATTATATATCAAATCCATCACATAATTACAATCTGCTAAGTTTGCACTTCTTTATCGTGTTCGCTACATTCTTGCTCTGGATCTATTTAAATCTCAAATCCGCCCTTGAATGGAATACTGTTGCCATATCTAAAGAAGATTTTCAAATGGTTCTTATTTCCTTTTAGACTTGGGGAAAATACGCATTATAAACATATTTAGACCTGCTCTTGCATCAAACCTTTAACAATTACCACATCATCGTAAGATGCTTCCATTTCTCTTTTCTATAAATACTATAATAAGCGCTGGTCTAAAGAGCTCATGTTTCTTGTTCCATCTATTATACTTCATTTGTGTATTACTTGACATTCAATTAGGTCTCATCCTTTTAGTGTGAATAACTCTAAAACTTCTTATTCGCCTAGTTTTTTTTCTCGAACATCAATTCTTTAGAAATCGCTTCCTTCATCTTGTTTTCCTGACTAATACAATTTGCAATCTTTTGAGCCATCTCTTAATCGTTATTTTGTTTTATTAACTTCATCTTTTCTCTTCCATTAACTTTTAAATCTGATATCGTTTGCTTTCAGCTGTTTTGGAAATAAAGATGTTTTTTTAAAATAAATAAATCATAAAGTGGTTTTGAATGTTGGATTAAGTAATTTTTACATATTGCCATTTTCAGATGGTTTGTTAGGTTAGTATTAGGTGTTCCTTTCTATGTCTTTTATCCTTTGGTTTTAAATCAAATTGTTAAGACACAAAGTTCATTATTGAAGAGGTATAATATATCAACAAAGTTTGAAAAACTGGCATTTCAGAAAAGATGTTATAAAAAGATATAATATATGAGTTATAAAGTTATTTATATCTTTAATTATGCATGTCTTTAAATTAAATTTAGTCTTCAGTGTGACATCAGCGATCTTATCTAAACCTTTATAGTTATATATATGTGTGCATTTATATATAAATATAAGTATACATAGTTATATATATGTGTGCATTTATATATAAATATAAATATGTGTTGACGTAAAAGAAACAAAACAAATTATACAAAGAAACAATCGGAATTTGCTAAACTTAAAAGAACTCTGCCCCCTAATAAATTATTATCGCAACATTCATGCTCAAACCATTTAGATGAAACACTAAAGAAAAAAGAGTTCAATAGTGATGCCTCCGTAGCCATTGAAGAAGTCATCGATGAAGAATTAAAAGAATTTAAGTTAACTTAGTTATCATTGCAGATGCACATTACAATTAAAAAAACTGCTCTGACTAGCGGTCACTACAGATTATCCGACAGAACAACAGCAGGTATTGCCTCAGGTTTTTTGCAAGATTTTGGTATTGTAATCAATTATGATCACAGTTTAATTGTTGACAAAATAAAATTAGAAGAGCAAAAGTGGATAACTGTTCACAACTTCAAATGCAGAGCAAGAAAAAATATAACCTACTTCAAGGACTGTATTTTGATTGGAGGAAGGACAAAACTCAAGTTGTTGAAAAACTTAAATTAAAACGGTTATAACGAACCATGAAAGAGGAACGTTACTCAATTTTACAAGAACCAGATTCCGTGTACGTTGATCATGTTTCACCAATTTTTGGGTCTGCTGAAAACATTTTAAGAAGCATTATTTCATATTTAAATGGAACTGGATTTTCATTTATGAACTGGACGTAATCGTATGCGATGGCAAAGTTACTAACACGGGATGGAAATTTGGTGTTTCCCACAAATGAAAACTGTAAAAAAATGTAAAAAGACCAATGCAGGGGGGAATTAGCCGCCATTCAGAGTTATTGCAAATAAAAAAAAAAATTAGTAAACCGTTGTTTTATATAGTTAACACTTTTTTTAGATCAAGGGGTATTTCCTGATGTACTAAAATTATAAAAAGTGTTTTCTAATTTAAAAAAATGATGATCATTCTAACGTTTCCAACTACAGACCTATATCAGTGCTTTCTGTGTGTTTGAAATTATGCGAACGCATAATTCACAATAAAATCTTTGATTATTTTACTAAAAACAATTTCTTTTATACAAAACAATATGGATTTCAAAAAAATCATTTAACTGAACATGCCTGTTTTGAATTAGTTGATCAAATAAATAATAGCTTTAACGAAAACAAGTTTACTTTAAAAATATTTATCGATCTCTCAAATGCTTTTGACACTTTTGATCATTGTATATTGTTAGGAAAGTTAAAGCATTATAGAGTAACTAATAAGATCTACTATTGGATTAAAAGTTACCTCACGGATAGAAAACAATATGTTCTAAATCAAGAATATGGGATACTTAAAATCCCGTGTGGAGTACCGCAAGGATCAATACTTGTTCCTCTCTTATTGATAATTTATGTAAATGACTTAAATAATGCATCAGTAAAGTTAAACCCAATTACGTTCACGGATGATACAAACCAATCTCTTAGTTTGAAAAAACATGCGTGTAGAATTTTTTATCAAATATTTTTGTAAATGTTTGTATTTATTTCTTTGTATACCTAAAATTCCAATATAATAATTGCAAAATAACTTTGTAATTGTTAAAATAAGTTTGCCTCGTTATATCTTTAGTTTATTTTACATATTTTTATTTTTTTACTTTTATATCTTAGATTTTTAAAATTTTTTTAAACAATTTATAAATTGAAATGACAATATTATAATATAATAAGGGTCTCTATAAAAAAATTG